TTTTTGACTAGCAAAACAGCGTTGGCTCTCCTCCATTTCGTTGGGATGTCATTCGTTTCCCAAGATGTTTGACATACGTGTAGCAATGCTGAGCATACTTCGTCGCCGTTGGCAAATATGTTCCAAAATTCTGGCGGTATATCATCGGGCCCGGCCGCTTTCCCCTGTTTCATTTTTCGCAAGGCGTTCCGCAATTTTTCGAAAGATAAATTCGACGTGTCAACTGGGAGCCCCGTCTCCCATCTTCACTGTTGCCTCTGGAGCCAGATCCAGAAAATGCACTTGCCGCTGAACTTGTTCAAAGCGCTCTGCTAGCGCGTCTGGTCGGCCTGCTGTATCTGGCAACTTTCCTGTAAGATCCTTGACACCAGCGCGGTTGTGTTGCCGTTTCTTCCTCAATTGTTTGACGGCGCCCCAATGTCCCCCAACCAACGCGGCGTTGATCCAACTTGACCGGTCTTGTCGCGCGGCTTGTCGGATTCGCTTGATCAGCGCCTGCTCGCCTATGAATTGCCCGGTTGTTCGGCATGCGTTCCTCTTCTCAATCAGATCCAAAGTACGTTGAGATATCCAAGGACGCCTTGCTACAGCATGCCTGGGTTTCAGACAACATGCAGCGGATAAGAAAGCCTGCTCCACCGCCCCGGCCACGTGATCCAGAGAGCCCCCCAAGGCAGCATCGCCCCAAGCCAGCACAAACTTCGATGCAAAATCTCGTTGCGGGCCTGGCCCCTTCAAAGATGAGACGTCTAAGCGCGGTGGGCGGGCTTTGTCGCGATTCTGAAACTGGAATGCAGTGGTCGCCACGGTCTGGAAATGGTCTCATTTAGGGCCGCTCTTCGACAAGATCTGCAATCCAATACCCATGGCAAGACTGAGGAATTACATAAGAGATGGTCGATGTGTGAAAACCGCTCAGGACAGAGAGGGCCCATCGGAGCCACCCCCAAATCCCTGCACGCGATACGCTCGTCTTCCGGTACATTGAAGAATGTGTTCGCGATCGCCATGTCGTTGCCGTGGCAGCATTCCAGCAGAAGCTGGCGATTGGAGACCTGTGTAGCGGTGCGTCTCGCAAATTTCCCTAGGTAAGCATGCTTTCCGAGAATGCGTTCTTCGCCCTGGCTCTAGATCAACAGTCCAGCATTGAAATCCCCCAAACCCACCATAGTAGTGCCGCGCGGCGTTGTCGGCCGGATGTACGCGCCCAGGTCGGACTAGAAATCGCACCTGACGTCCTCATGATGTCCACTGTGTGGCGCGTAAGCGGTGCTGAAGGTTCGCAGCCCGCCAACAACCGTTATTCTCAGGGAGGCGAGTCTCGGGGAAGAGGCACGCCACGCAACTGATGATCTTTCGGCCCACGGTGCAACTATAAAACTACCTAGCCAACCCAGGCATCTGAACGTTTATCTGCATCAAGTTCCCCTGACAAACACATCAGAAAACCATCTTCGTGTTTGTCATAATCATGTCCACGCAAGTGTCTCTTGTATGCATAATATATCAATGTTCTGCTTTTGCAATGTGCCGAATATCTCTGTGAACTTAACCTGCGAATCCCCCCTCAGACCTTCCGCGCTCCAGGAGCCCAATCTAATCGTCGAGGTCGGCAGACATGCTGCGCGAGGCCTGCCCGATGAACTTCGCGGTTGTGGAGCGGATGGAATCCAAGACGGTGCAATATCGGTCTCGCCAGATAAATCCGTCTCAAACTCTGGCCCTTCGGAGGCAACTACTGAAGACGTGAAAACGCTTCCAAGAGAAATACGTTGAGGTGTGTAGCCAAAACTTGAAGTATAAGCAAATTCGGTAATGGTATCTCTGCCAATTTCTGGATCAGCCCCTGGAGATTACGAGACGAAAACATCAGGATCATTGTGAGCATGTGCGAGGAGGTCTTTATGAGAACGCCCGTGTAATCCGCGTGCGGTAGTGGCAATTTTGCCCATCACCGGGACAGATTCCGATGTAAAAGAATGCGGAAACAGACACTGGTGTGGTACACGTGTCCCTGCGGGGGGTCGTCCCTGAAGGGGCCGGTGAGCTTCCTGAGGTAAACGTGACAGGTAGGTAGCTTTGCCCATTCCTGCCGTCGTCGTAGCCAGTGGTGATGGTATGGCGGCGTCGGTGCCGATTCTGGCCTCGGTCAGCGCCTGCCGTGTTTTTCAAAATGTCCCCTCTCCTTTGGACTGCCCTTTGGGACTTCCTTTCATTCCCGACGAGGCTCTGCTAACCAAGTCGTCACATCTCGACGTAAGTTTTTTGAGCCTCTCTTGCTGTTGGAGGTCGTCCCACTCGCCCCATGTGTTAAAACATTCCCGTTTCAAACTTGTATCTGCTGTCGTCACTTTTACTGCTAATTCTCCTCCTACATGGACCTGGTATGGCGATTCGTCGTTTACTTGAATGGCGTACGCCATGCCCATATGGTCTTCCAACGTGTACTTAAGTCCAAAGCAAAAGTTTCTCGCTGCACGGTCGGTTGGGCGTCGATCTGGAGAAGCCCAAATCTTGCTTCCATTATGCTGTAAGCTCGCACCTCGGACCAGGGCTACCGCCGTGTCGCGGTCCAGCGTGCTCCCGAACTCGGCATACAGGATGTGGTTCGTGTCGCCGTTGATGTACAAATCGTATGGAGTCGGGCCTGCAAGAGTTGCCAGCTGGTCCTTCAGCCAGCCTGCGGCGGCGTTGAAGACGTTGAAGCCGCTGAGGCTGCCAAAAGCTGCTGTGTCATCGTCCTTTTGCTGTTCGTGTCGGTGGGAACCTGTGGAACTCCATGTTGTTTGAGCTGCTGGACTCCACTTTCCAACTCCTGTGGGAAAAACACACACACACACACACACACACAAACACACAGCTTGTGGGAAAAAACACTGTGGGGAGAGAGAAAAAAAAATGCAGTCTGTAGGAAAAAACACGCAGCTTCGTGTGCACCCTCGTGTCGATACTCGCCTCTGACCCCGCCCTCGCTGCTGCCTGCCCTGGCGTATAGGTGCCCGCGAGCCGTCCCGAGCCTGCAAGAACCCCAACCGTGTTGTGAGATCTGCGAGGGGGTTAGGCGACCCGTCCTCCTCCTCCTCCTCCTCCTCCTCCTCCTCCTCCTCCTCCTCCTACTCCTCCTCCTCCTTCTTCTCCTCCTCCTCCGCCCTCCCTCCCTCCCTCCCTCCCTCCCTCCCTCCCTCCCTCCTCCTCCATCTCTCAGAAGCACGATGGCGGTGTTGATAGGGACAACGGTGTTCTCAAGGTCCGCGCGGGAGACCCCATGTTTTTGATGGCGTTGACGTCGTTCCGAATCGGATTCGGCTGCTCGTTGAGATCGTTCCATGTCGCCAATACAAGGTTGCCCAACGGCTTCGTGCGGACGTGCCTGAGATTGACGTTGTGGTGCGCTGGCGCTTCCGGCATCATCCAGCCCATCCATTTCATGTAGTGGGCTGTGGATCCGATATTGCTTCGCTCTCCCAGCTGATGCTCGTGGCGACGGTGACGAAGCAGGTGGAAGCCGGTCGTCCTTGAACGATTGCCTGACAGGGTTGCCTGGCACGCGCGTGTCTCCGCCCGCACCCGAAGAAGACATCGCTGCAGGCATGAGCGTGCGAGAAGGTAAGATGAACGGAATTGTTCAGGAAAGGTATGCTGAGGAGGTATGCTCAGGAAAGGGGCTCGAGAGGGCTTGGCTTCTTGAGCCAGAATGGCTTGAGCCAAAATGGCTACGGGTTAGGGGAAGCCGAAAAGGGCCCTAGTTACCTTCACCTGGAGGGTTCTCGGAACTTTCTCCTGGGACATGTAAAAATACTGGAGGCTCGCGCCCCCGAAGCCATCATCCCTCGTGAGTTACGCCATATTCGCGCCCCGAGGCCATAACGCCTTCAGAATTATTCGGCGCTTGCGTCCCCGAAGCCATACACCCTCGCAAAATTACACTGCGTTCGCGCTTCCGGGGCCATAATTCTGTGCAAATAATATAATGTTCGCATCTCCGAGGCAATGCCCATTCGAAAATGAATCCATAGATGCGTCCCCGAAGCCACGATCCCTCGTAAGTTACGCGTTCTTCGCGTCCCCGAAGTCATAAAGCCTCGTAAAGTACACAGCACTCGCGCTCTCGAAGCCACAATCTTTCGTAAAAGGCCCCCATGATGGTACAGGAGGTCTTCGAGCGGCCCAAGATTGCTCCAAGGCGCCAAAGATGGTCCCAAGACGGCCCAAGAGGCTCCCAAGAGGCCCCCAAGAGCGCTCCAAGAGCACCCCTAAGAAGGGCCCAAGGGGCCAACATCTGCAAGGCACCTGGATATCTCCAGTGGCCCCTCTTCGGAGTTCCGACGCTGCTTCACGACGGCGCCCAAGCCTCACAACATAGCTCGTGCATATCCCATTCGCCGAGAGAGGGGGGGCCGGCGGCAGTTGGCGAAGGCCTTACGGATATCTCTCATTGACAGCTCTCTAGGGTGCACTGGCTCAGGCGCCCGCCCGAGAACTCAGGCGCGGTCGGGGTTGCGCCGCCTGCAGCACACGATCGCCAGGCCCTCGGGCGGACCCTTCCCGAACACACTTGGTATTTGCGATTTCTGAGCCGCATACCCGTCGCGCAATGACTGCTTTCCTGCACTCAACGCTGGTGTACAGTTCGCAGTGTGCTGCTGGCGCGGCCCCGTGTGGGGCATCTAAGGCAAGTGGCTGCGGAAGGTGGGGAAGCGCTGCTGCAATCCCGCCCATCCCGCCTGCGCTAGACTGTGTACGCGATTTTGTTGCCAGAGCCTGAATTCAGAACGATCTTCAGGTGGTACTCAAAGACTGGGGGCGTGCACATTGGCCTCTCGTGCTGTACACTACACACCACCAGGTCCGTCGCTTCGTCACGGGGCAGACGTACTTCCAAGAAGTTACAAACAAAGTGCCAGTTGATCCTCCTTCGCATCCTATTCGTGTCCCACTTCATGCTCGAAGACACGAGGAGCCGACCGAACGGCACATGGCATCTCTCAAAGAGGAAGCTC